AAAATAAAATTTGTAATTTTGATATCGCTGTTCTAGCAGAATGTAAAGTAAAAGCTGGAGGAAAAATCAAGAACTCACAAGAGAATTTAAAACAAAATTGGCATATGAAGGTAATCATTATCCTTACTCATCATTATTGGAACACTTGGATCAGTCCTTAGAATATTGCAAAGCCGTTGGAAGTACTGAAAATCAAAAGAAGCATCTAAACCTTGGTAATTTTAAAATCAGCAAGGAGTACTGAGGGGTGTGGTGGGATATTGAGGAAATCTTGCTTTCATTTAATTTCCGGTAAAAGATACCAGTTACTATTGGTGTAAAAAAAAAGTATGAATAATAATAATAATAATAATAATAATAATAATAATAATAATAATAACAGAGTGAGCCAGTATCTGGGCAGGAAAAAATGCCACTTTTATGTGAAAGAAACTGCAAGAAACTGGTATGAACATCACCCAGACTCGTTTACAGAGATAAGACCTACAGCAATTTTAGGGGACTTTTAAATACGCACAGACAGAACAATCAAAGCTAAATGGACATCAATAATCCCAGCTGTAGCTGGAGCACTCGGATTGAAAAGTCTCTGATAAACTCATTTAAGGGATTTCTAGTAGCTCATGCCTTAAAGAAATACAAGAAAATTGTACTCACATTTACAGCTCACACATTACGAAGAGCTTTATCAATGTAGAATGTGTGTTACCTTAGTTTTTCTATTTTTATTTACGAAAAGGCCAAGTGGGAAATGCCATACAACCATTTCTGACCTTAGGGCTCTGGCCGGGACACGGAAGGAAATGCGTATACAACGGAAATGAAAGGAAATAATAATATAGAGTCGATGGAATGCGTTCGTATTGTGATTTCATATTTTTTATACATATATATATATTATATATATATTTTATATCTCTATATATATGACTACGTTTGGGCACCTCGAGGCGATGTAATCGTTAGCAAGCTTGTCTTGCTAGAACATTTACGACTGAGTAGTGAGTTCGATCCTCACTGGGTGCCCCCTACCTTCGGCCTTGTGCGACATCTAAGCTACGGTTGGAAAAGATAAAATACGATAAATAATACAATAAATACGATAAAATAATGCATGCGATTAAATGAAATTGTTTTTAGATGCTCCTATATTTGTTGCCAGTGATATCATTGGCCCTATGTAGATGAGATAACGAAGCATAAAATCTTTTCTCTATTGCATTACACGCAAGCAGTAGCAAATCTGGGAAAGAAAAAAACAAGCTCACGTTTAATTGTTTTGTTAAGGGATTTGGACAACTTATAGTTAAAAAGGAAAGTGTCCTTGTTTCTTACAGGGAGTCTCAATATATATGCATATATGTAAATATTTTGAACGACAGTGAAACGATCTCAGCCAAGCAACCAGCCAATGTTCGCCGCTGTTTCTCCGAATTCAGAACCTTTAAAAATGCTTTAACTTTACTTCTATTGTGATGGTTTTTATTTTCTTCGGTGCATCGCCATCAGAAAAGTTTACGTCAAAAAAGTCACGTGAAAAAGTAAACTAGTACGGTGAGTATTTGACTCGCCCTACCTAACCAGGGTAGTTTCAAATAAATGGGACAACGAGAGGGAATAAAAACTGCAGGTTCTTTGAAACGTTTGATAATAATAACAATAATATCCACCAGGAACAGAAACGTCAATATGGAGGCAATGTCTTATTTCTTTGTAAACCAGGCCTTCCCTTTGTTGACAAAGAAACAATACATGTGACCATTATTTGAAGCTCTAGAAATAAACTGAAATCCGTTTTCAAGTTGCCAGACATTGGAATATCCACGTCACTATAACCTTGGTTATCTATACCACCTAACATAAAGACCTACATCGGGAAAAATCCGAATAAGTAAATAAATATTCTAGCATTTCTGAAATCTTAGTTGCCTGACACCGTAAAAATTCTTCGAAAGATGCTCCTGTTTGAGTTCGAACTACTTGATGGAAGACACCATTAACGATCTTCGAAGATAAGATAGTTTTACCCACCTCTTAACGATAATAAGATGTAGCACAAAACATAAGCATACTATGGGCCAATCAGTGGCACGTTGACGTCGGAATCCACCAATGAGGAACCTTGTCTGAACAGCGAGGAATGTCAACAAATGTATCTCTACAAACAAACCAGCTAATTTCTGTCTGAATTTCATGGAAGCAGAGTTATCATTATTTATATTCGGACTGTTGTCCTCACAACGTCCCTGCTGTTGTGCCCTCCATCTTTCATCGGGTGAATATCGATTTAAAGAGATTTCTGAATTTATTAACCTATAGGTATTTGATTCGCCCTACCTAACCAGGGTAGTTTCAAATAAATGGGACAAAGAGAGGGAATAAAAACTGCTGGTTCTTTGAAACGTTTGATAATAATAACAATGTCCATCAGGAACAGGCACGTCAATATGGAGGCATTTTCTTATTTCTTTGTAAACCAGGCCTCGCCTTTGTTGACAAAAAAACAATAAATACATGTGACCATTATTTCAAGCTCTGCCCGACCCAAGGATTGAACTCACAATTAATATGCCATCAAATTCGTGAAACAACGATTTAATCGATGAGGCTATTGTCATTCAGCACAATTTGTTGTAGAAAATGAGGATAATACTCTGAATGTAAATAAAACAAACCATTTCTATAAAAATGAAATTGGATCAGTGACTAATACATATTTTACGGTTTATCAACCGTTTGTAGGTTATTTAAAGCCAGAAAATAGTTTTAGATCATGAGAATATTTTCGAAATAATAATGATTTAGTGATACTAAATTACGATTAACTAAACTGTAGCTGGGGGGCGGCGGATGTACACATTTCCCAAAGTATTTGCGCGTATGGGAATATAATGAACCCATCTAGAATTGAAAATAGGCTGTCTGATTAACAATTCCGAGCCATTTTGCAATTTCAGCCCCCACACATCCAAGTTTACAGCAACTTGTATTCCCAAGCAGTCAGCCATCTAGGTACTGACATTCCTTAACTTCAGTCATCGTACGGGAACAGGTGTTGCAACATGATATGGTTGTAAACCTTGGAGTAGTTAGAGATGCCAGGAAGAACCTTACAAAGAAATGGCGAGAACTGAAAATTCCGAAGATGACTCAAAAGTATGATTATGTTAGGATTATATGGACGGTGCCATCGAAAATTATTCCTAGCTGAATCTGTTATTCCTAGAGAGAAAATCAGTAAGCAAAAGTCTTTAAGAATATTTGTGCAAATTGTGCATGGGGATATTTATTTGTAGTCAAAGATGTCGTAAACATTGCTTTAATTCTACAAGCAGTAATTACTAAGCTTAACTAACTGAAAGTTATTTTTTACTCACTAATATTTACTAAAGCTTTCTTAATTATAATTATTACTAACTAATGAAAATGTTATCTGTCATTTCTTTGTATTTTTATAATATTTGTTGGAATGTTTTAAATTATAAATACTTAGGCCTGATGGACTTCTGTCCATTTCTCTTACAATAGAACCATACTTGAAATCTATTTACGTTTTTATTTGTGTCTCCAGCTTTTTGTCTTCGAAGAAAATGTCTTTTCTGCTAGCTGAGCAATACTATTTGCTTTCGATCTTTTTATTTGCTTGAGACTTACTTTTCGTAAACGTCAATTAATCCTCCCACATCTGTCACTTTTTTTTATATAAGAACAAAGGCAATCATTCGTTTTTAATTCTTCATGTTCTATCACATCTCTAACTTTCGTTTCTTTTTTCTGTTCAATCATTCTCTCCTTTTTTTCAAATTACGCTTCTTATGAATAACCTTCACGTCTATTCTCTTATTTTTTTCTTTATTTTTTCTTTTCTTAATTTTCTTTATTCTCTCTTTCCTTGAATTTCTTTATTCTCTCTTTCCTTGGATTCCTTTATTCTCTCTTTCCTTGGATTTCTTTATTCTCTCTTTCCTTGAATTTCTTTATTCTCTCTTTCCTTGGATTCCTTTATTCTCTCTTTCCTTGGATTCCTTTATTCTCTCTTTCCTTGGATTCCTTTATTCTCTCTTTCCTTGAATTTCTTTATTCTCTCTTTCCTTGAATTTCTTTATTCTCTCTTTCCTTGGATTCCTTTATTCTCTCTTTCCTTGAATTTCTTTATTTTTTCTTTTCTTGGATTCCTTGATTCTCTCTTTCCTTGGATTCCTTTATTCTCTCTTTCCTTGAATTTCTTTATTCTCTCTTTCCTTGGATTTCTTTATTCTCTCTTTCCTTGAATTTCTTTATTCTCTCTTTCCTTGGATTCCTTTATTCTCTCTTTCCTTGAATTTCTTTATTTTTTCTTTTCTTGGATTCCTTTATTCTCTCTTTCCTTGGATTCCTTTATTCTCTCTTTCCTTGAATTTCTTTATTCTCTATTTTCTTGGATTTCTTTATTCTCTCTTTCCTTGAATTTATTTATTCTCTCTTTCCTTGGATTCCTTTATTCTCTCTTTCCTTGGATTTCTTTATTCTCTCTTTCCTTGAATTTCTTTATTCTCTCTTTCCTTGGATTTCTTTATTCTCTCTTTCCTTGAATTTCTTTATTCTCTCTTTCCTTGGATTTCTTTATTCTCTCTTTCCTTGAATTCCTTTATTCTCTCTTTCCTTGGATTCCTTTATTCTCTCTTTCCTTGAATTTCTTTATTCTCTCTTTCCTTGGATTCCTTTATTCTCTCTTTCCTTGAATTTCTTTATTTTTTCTTTTCTTGAATTTCTTTATTCTCTCTTTCCTTGGATTCCTTTATTCTCTCTTTCCTTGGATTTCTTTATTCTCTCTTTCCTTGAATTTCTTTATTCTCTCTTTCCTTGGATTCCTTTATTCTCTCTTTCCTTGGATTTCTTTATTCTCTCTTTCCTTGAATTTCTTTATTCTCTCTTTCCTTGAATTTCTTTATTCTCTCTTTCCTTGAATTTCTGTATTCTCTCTTTCCTTGAATACACTATCTTTTTTCAGCTTTCCCCTCATGAAATCTTTCTTTTTTTTCTTTGTATTTTACTTATTTGTTACTAAAACCATTTGTTTTAAATACTTCATTAACCTTATAAATTACCCTAAGTTTACTTGTACTATTTAAATTTGTTTCGGCTATGTTTTCCTTCTACTAAAAATATACATATAATATTCTTCATCTGTCAGTAACGGCTGTCTTAATTCCTGGCAACTGAAATTAGTTGAATTGTTAACGTGAAACCTTCATAATTATCGCAGAAACTTGCATGAATATATTTGGTGGTAGAAAATTGAAAAACTCATTGAATTAAATGGAATATCCACGTTTATACGATCATTCGACTTGGTTGATCTTCATTCATTCATAGCTTTGTGAATGATATTCTCCCATTAATGTGGGCTGCTACAAATTCTTGTGCGGGAGTATTTAAAATGTAACTCTTCAATCGTCTAGCTATGTCTTTGAAAATGGTATTTTGGCATTACTTTCATAGAAGTATATATAAGTATTAAATGATTAATTTTAAAATTTCCATTACAAGCTATACTCGAACTCAAACCAACTAACAATATCTCAGCCCAACAGAATGTTTTTTTCTTTTTCTTGACAGGTAAGAATTCTTGACACATGCTGACAAATATCTTTAATGCTGGCTTAAATGAATTTAGTTTTCATAATCATAACAATGGTATTTGAGCAAAAGTTGTTGAGAGAGTCGGTCGGGTAAATTCAGTTTAGCCTGGTGAAAGTAATATCCACGCTTTAGTTTACATTTCTAATAAGTTGGGTTAAATTTAAAATCGTTTTAATTAACTAGATCTAAAGTTACTCTGTTAGTTCATTCTTTTTTTAAGCATATCTCCCCAAGCAAGGCGGGAGTGCCACTAGCACGAAAGAGGTTATAGGAAGTGAGAGTAAAGAGCGGTGATTGAGGAAAGGATAAAGAGAAGGACAACGATCAGGATCAAGGCATCAGTAAATGTCGATTAAAATTACTTTTGAATATTTGAAGATTATAGCTATCAGGGAAGCAGGTAAGAAGAAGGGAGTTCCATTGATGTGAAGTGCGTGGGAAGAAGCTTTTGGGGTAGAAGAGGGGGGTTACATTTAACCGTTTCGACACTGAAAATATGGGACCGAGAGCCAAGCTAGTAGCACGCTTAAATTCATGCAGCTGGGGTATCAGTGAATGCAGCTCATCAGAGCAGTCGCCATGAAAACATTTGTGGAAAAGACAGAGGGAAGCCACATCACGTCTATGAGAAAGTGACTCTAGACGAGACGCCAGATCAGGACCTATCGATTTCATATCCGTCTCTAGATTTTGTCTAGGATCTCGAGAGGAACAGGGGGGGGGTAACACCATACCATATATGGCAAAATCTTAAAAAAAATTTGCGGATAATATCATGTGAACAATATTTAATGAGGCCAAATCAGGCCCATTGAATTTTGTCTGGCCTACGAACATCTGTAGCACAAAAGTCAGAATATTAAATAACGTTTATTAAATCGCTATAAATGAAAGAACTGTTTCAGTTATAAAACAACTGTAAGAGAATTAGTCAAGTACACTTAAAAACGTTTGGAAAACCCGGGATGAATATATATTCATTGAAACTGATAGTCGCTTTGTGATCTAAATATTTTCACTTTTTCGTTCATAAAATGTTTTCATACAATACTGTATCAAGCTGATATTTGACATTACACAGTGTAAGTAACATGAATTTTAGGTATATCTATCTATCTATCTATCTATCTATCTATCTATCTATCTATCTCCGTCTTTGTTCATATCTATCTATCTATCTATCTATCTATCTATCTATCTATCTATCTATCTAACAAAGGATGTCTGTGTATCTATGTGTCTGTCCGATTTTGACCCATTTTAGCACGTACGTCATACATTGTAAGTGATAGGTTCTTAGCGTAAAAATCGATAATTTAAAAAAATCAATGAAACCGATCAAAAATCGATAAATTCAACTTTTTTTCCTCTGATTACATTCAAATTCGGTATGTCGGTTACTTACATAATAACGAGCTCAGCGATACCTCATTATTATTTCTACGCCACTGCGTTTAGCAAAAAACCGCGAAAAACAAAAAAAAAAGTCGATTTCATCAAAAATCGATTTTTTTTTGCAATCTAATATAAACTTCACTCAATTGTAGCCAACAAAAAGTTGATTGTTTAAAAGTCATTCAACTTGTTAATTGAGTCCACTCATATATTAAACGATAATTTTAATAAAAATAAAAAAATAATCTTTCACTCGCCAGTAGTTTATCTTCGCCCGAGGAGACACATTTGTAGTGTTGTAACATAATTGTAATTGTGAAGCGATTTTAAACATGTTTTTTTAATATCCAAAAATAAATAATAATTATGAATATTTTGGAAATATTATTCAAGAAACAATGGCAGATAGTTTTTGATCATTTCACCCAGTGCAAGGCGATAATGCTGCTAAGACGCAAGAGATTACTGGGAGTGAAAGAGAATCTTTAGTGAGAGAAGTGAGGATAAAGGACAATAAAAGAACATGATTCAGGAAGAAAGAAGATGGCCGTAATGCCCCTAAGACGCAAGGGGGTTAATGGCAAGTAATTCAATATAATCACTGCATTTCATGTCAGAGCAAAACGTGCGCCTATAAATTATATGACTAAGAATTCATCTCACAAAATGTGCCATAAAGTGAAATATTTCAAAATGGTTCCGACCATTTTTCTGTCTCTGAAGAAGCGATTTGCTTATTTTAAGGAATTTTTATTGTTGCAATGACTTGAGGTAAAAAGAAGTTTGCAGTGACTGACCACATATTACGTTAGGACCATTTACTAACATTACATGTGTCACAATAAGGTTATTTAGTAACATTACATGTGTCACAATAGGGACATTTAGTAACCTTCCATGTGTCACAAATTTAAAACGCCTGTCGCGAATTCAGCTAGCGAGACAAGCTTGTTAACCATTACATCACACCGAAGTGTCATTACCCTTGCGACATATGGATGATATGGAGTACAAAAACACTAACATGCCTGAATGAAAATCCTTAATAAAAGAGTTCAGGTACTTGCATAATGGCAATGACATTAAAACGTGCAAGTCAAGCAGTGCTATTTTGGTGTTACTTCATGAAGTGGGTTTCTTATCTCCTGTGTCTGAAAATGTTTAAACTCAGAATTCATTTCCTGACCATTGTTACAATTTTAGTTGCAGACAAAAGAGAATTCTAAAGAATATTCCTCTTGGAAAGAATTTAATCATTGTTACGATGCACAGTGGTTTATAGACTGTTATTTCCAATCCTTTGCATTCACATCGAGAAACAATAATTCTTGATATCGAACCAAAAATTACATGACAAGCGAAACGTGACAATTACAATCCATGTTTGCACCAATTAAATGTTTATTTGTTATCAAAAAATGCACGTAATGTGTCCGTTTCCTGTAAAAAGTGATTTTACTAGACAAAAGTATTTTCTTTATTATTTTACGATATTGAATGCAGTGAAAACGAAAAAAAAGTTTTGCATCTTCTAATAGTCATCATATTGTGTGTGTGTTCTTATCTTGGGATTGATAGTGAAGTGGTTTCCGATTGCCTTTTCTGTGGTGGTCTTTGGAGACACCACCTCCAGTTAGCTGGCCGTTGATTCATCGAGAGTTCTTCGGCTTTTTGTTAGGTCTTATTTTTCATCCTGCTGGCTCAATAAAAAGCCGCTTCACTCGGAAGAACTTGGAGTTGGGTAGTCGGCTTAGTCGTCAAAATTTCGACTGTAGAATACTACTTACCATATATATATATATATATATATATATATATATATATATATATATATATATTGATGCATAAAATATACAAGTTTTGTCTATTTATTCGAAGTAAGTTCCTTTCATATTGTCTGATAAGCTTAATACTATTATCATTGAAAGACGAAAGGAAATGACCATATTGATACATGTTTTAATCCTATCAAATATTTCGTCTTGCATAAGCTTACGCGTCTCGTATACACGAGTTTGTCGATGCCTTGAAATTTTTCATGCAACAAAAATAGACTATCATTATTGTTTTGTTCGTGTATTGTTTGATATATTGAAAGGTAACTGTCATCTTTGTTAATGGCTTATGTAAGCCAAAAGCTTAGATTAGATTTAAACATGTATCAATACGGTGATTTCCTTTCATCTTTCAATGATAATGTTATTAAGATTATCAGACAATATGAAAGGAACTTACTTAAAATAGATAGACTAAACTTGTCTATATTATTTAATGAAACATGCATCAATTAAAAATTGCTGCCTAAATACAGACACACACACACACATATATATATATATATATATATATATATATATATATATATATACAGGCTGATTGAAATTTTTTATGTCCGATGAACTTTCCTGTCTAACTATTGTTTTTACAAGACAGGAGGCCATCATACATGAAATAGGGAGTTACTTTTCAATCACAATATATACATGCTCTCTCTCTCTCTCTCTCACACACACACACCCATATATATATATATATATATATATATATATATATATATATATATTATTTATTATTATTATTTATTCGAAAATTATAACTTAAACATGTTATAAAATCACTACAAAAATAACACTTTTGTTTCAAAACTTCTGGTGTCTTATAAAGTTATGGTGTTGAAACAAAATGGCTATTTTCCTAGTGATTTTACAACATATTTATGTTATAATTTTTGAATAAATTATATTTGCTCTGCACTATACTGAGCCCTTTTTTAAGAATAGTATTTTTGGTTACTGGAATTTATTCTGTATACACCAATCCTATACTTATATATATATATATATATATATATATATATATATATTATATCTTAAATATATATGTTATATCTACACAAAAGCTTTCATGTTTCAGTACTATTATTTTACTTCCTATTGTACGTTGGTAGGTAACTAGTTACACAGGAAATACAATTATACTATTGAAATATGAAATCTTTTGTGTACCGATTGAAATTTTTTTTTATAACTTATAATAAAAATATAATAATAATATATTGCTCTACTTTGTATTGATCACTTTTGAAAATAGTAAATACTTCGAACTGTCGATACATTTGTTCTCTCTTTATACAAACACACACACACACACACACACACACACACACACACATATATATATATATATATATATCTATATATATATAGAAGTGCACATATATATGGAAGGCTATTTTTGTAGTGATTTTATAACATGTTTAAGTTAGAATTTTCGAATAAATTATACATACATACATACATACATATATATATATATATATATATATATATATATATATATATATATATATGTGTGTGTGTGTGTGTGCATGTATACATATATATATATATATAATTATTTATTTAAAAATATGATTCCAACTCATGACATAAGAGGTCTCATGTTTCAAAACAAGAGCCGAAAACTTCAATATAATTATTTGAATTAAATTGAGTTAAAGTAAGCTCTGTTCCATCTTCAAGCGAAATTTTTTTTTTGAATAACATATTTCTGAAATTTACGTGTTTTAATAATTGAAATCAAAATTTCCATGGTAACAGCTAGGGCGAATTGTTTAAATTGGGTAGGCGTGTGTTGGGTGTTAATAATAAGTATCAGAATAGAGTTACTTTCATAGATTTCAAGTCAGGGTAAGGTGGGGGTGTCTAAATTTGAAACGGAAGATGTTTTAGCCTAGTCTGGTTTACGTCTCTATGGAGATTTATTGAATTTTATTTCTTTATGAAAGGGATTCGTGCATATATAAAAAAAGAAAAAAAAACTGCCGTAACATTTGTTTTTTGACGACTTCATAAAGGGTTATCTTTTTTGTAGGGTATTTAAACTATTTATTTGGGCTATGGATTATAAAAGTTATTATATTGTATGCTTGTTTTTAGCTAATTATTCAAACCATGAATTTAATGATGTCGACAAAAACCGTTAACTCATGTCTATTGTTTAAATAGATTATTATATATATATATATGGAAGTGCTCTGTTTTCTTTAATATATATATATATATATATATATATATATATATGTATGTGTGTGTGTGTGTGTGTGTGTGTGTATGTGAGAGAAATACAACTGAGAAAATTCGAGAAAATTGCTAGAACTATAATCAATAAATGAATAAACCTTCAAGTGGCTAGTTTGGTTCGCCGGCTCCTGATATTCGCATCGAAATCCTCATCGGGGACAGTTTTGTTTTTTCACAAATCTATATCGGATGTCATATTTATACAATTTCTGAGCAACTGCAACTTTTAGATTCTAAATTCTAAACACGGTTCGGCTAAACATAAGTCATTGCATGTGTACGTGTACGTGTGTAAGTGTATATGTGTGCGAATGTTTCTGATGGAATCACAGAAACATTTAAATGCATTAACAGCTCACATTATATCTGCCTGTTTCCAAAGAGAAAGAGATCCATACTTTTATTTAACATCATTCTGTTTCGTTCACCTTAACGAATCCTGTTTTCACTTTTCACTAGTTAATGTATCTTTTCAATTTACACTAGCAGTCCTGTCCATTATAATATCCCTGTATACCTGTGAATCTCTCCTTGTATACCTGTGTCCTTGTGCGGAAACCAAGACGAATTGGTTGCTAAGGCAACGAGGCCTCAAAGGAAGCGGCGGCACCTGTGACTTGCTAGTAGACGTCTGCTTCTGAGTACGCATGCGCTGTTAATACCCTTCGCTTAACGCATTTACTTGGCTTCTTTTATTTATTATCTAAAACTACTCCAGCCTCTTTTTCAGCTATCTTTCTTTCTTTTTTTTGTAGAGATATTTACTTTCGTCTTGTCTCTTTACTTAAACACGTTCCTTCCATATTCTTCGAGTTACTCCTATCTCCTGTGTTCTTGAAGATATTTTCTCTTATTTTCACTTTTATCCTTTGATTCTCTCTTGAATATTATGCCGATGGTGGATTTCATGGGTTTTCGATTAAGACTCTTTTCTAACTACCACTCAATCACGTAATAAATGCCCATACACGTGTGTGCAAAGATAACACCCTATATATATATATATATATATATATATATATATATATATATATATATAGAATGGACGTCATTATTTTATCTTGAGGGACCCTTTCGAACAACACTTTCTCAAAAAGTCATCGTTGGCAAGCAGTAGGAGACAATAAAAAACACCGTAATGACAAAAGTACGCAGGTCTATGCTTTAAGTAAGCTTTATTCAACTGAGAATACATGGTTCGCGTATAGTGTCCTTTTATAGTCCCAGTAAACAGAAATAGCTCGCTCAAAAAGGAGAGTAACAAAGCAAGGGGAGACCACTCTTGATTATTCATAACAGTATATAACGAGTGAGGAGAGGAAATTGGAACATTATTAAAATAGATTTTAATTATAAATAAATGAACGACTAAAAAGAAAATATGAAATTTCCAAAAGAGTATAAAATGGAAACAAATTGACTCATAATCCCTTGATCAAATGTAAAGAACGAATAAAGTCTTCCTTTTGTTTACACGGGCTCGGCTGATGAGACTTAAGATAAACAGACTCAAGAATTCGGAGATGGTGAAGTGAGCGAGCACTATGTAAAATGGAAAAAGATGCGTCATTATAATCGGCGCCATAGTCGGGATTGTCGAGTAAATATATAAAACAAAGACTTGTACCCACAGAAGAATATATAATCAAATCACATTAGTAAATAGTGAATGAGATAGGAAAATTGGAACACGATTAAAATAGATTTTAATTATAAATCAATTAAGAACTAAAAACAAAATACGAAGTTCCAAAAAGAGTATAAAATGGAAAAATGATACTCATATTCCCTCAATAAATCGTAAGGAACGAATAAAGTCTTCCCTTTGTTTACATAGGCTCAATAATTACAACAATATTCTAACACAAAATTGAAAACTTTCCGCAAAAGAATTAAAAAACAATTCTTATATCTAACAGACCAGCTGATAAAGATAAGAAACCAATTGATTTGGGACAAATTAGATCATTAACCACAGTACCATCTCAATCGTTTTTAACGAAACTTGTATAAAGAACGATTGCTAGCCAAATACACAATTATTAAATTACATTCCGGAAGCTAGCAAAGAAAGTAACACTACAACATACAGAAAAAAATGGTTTACGACAATATATATATATATATATAGACATGAAAGAATTGAATAGACACCAAGATAAATTTTATTTCTGATTTTTTTTAATAACCAAGATAAATTAATTTAGATTATTTGATTAAAATTGCAGATAAAAATACTGGAACATGCCACGAACGAAAGGAGCATTAGACCTATCCGAATTTCATAGAGGACGTATCGTGGACCAACATGAAGGTGGTCTTATTCAAAGAAAAATATCTGAAAATCTTTCAATACCCCTTTCTACTGTTAATAGAGTGATCGTACAATTCACCAGAGAGGTCAAGAAGTGCACGAAACCTCATTCAGGCCACCCTGGGCCCTCTAAAAGAACCATGCGTCTTGTCGAAAGAAATGTTGAACACGTTGCCTGGCCTCTGACATAGCAACACAAGTTGATGTCAGTCCCAGAACAGCTGTCAGGTATCTTCACAAGCTGGGATACTATGGCAGAGCTGCAAGAAGGAAACCACTTCTCCGTCCAGCCGATATCAAACGTAGAAAGGATTGGGCTCATGAGATGGTGGAGAGACCTGTGACCTTTTGGACCACTGTCATTTTCTCTGATGAGTCAAGATTCGCATTATATTCCGACAGTGGAAGAATATGGGTATAGAGACTCTGTAGTCAAGAGTTTAATTTAAAAAGACTGCAGCCAAAGGTGAAACATGGGGGCCTTTCAGTAATGGTATGGGGTGCAATTTGGAGTGATGGTCACTCAGAGCTTGTTGGAGTGTGAAGGAAACATTAATTCAACCAAATATGTTTCTATATTAAAGAAAGGGCTCTTCCAATATTCTCAAGTAGTAGAATGAGCAAAAAGTTGACTCCTATTTATAGAAGATGGAGCTCCATGTCACACTGCTCAAGCAACGCAACATTGGTTGAGACAAAATGGGATCAATAAACTACCATGGCCAAGTCAGTCCCTGGATATTAACCCTATTGAACACCTTTGGGGCATATTAGATTGAAAACTCTGCAAAAAGAACAGGGAGCCATCTTCTAAGCCCGAACTTTTAGGATTATTGCGTCAAACATAGCAAGAAATCCCTCAAGATGATATTCGTGAACTCATCGCTAGAAGGGTCCTTGCATTAAAAAAAGCAAAAGCAAAAAAGAACACTCGTGGCCTGACGATTGCGTCTAGCATGAAACAGCCTGTCGGCTCTAAGTGTTGACTTCAATGTTCACTTATATATATATATATATATAGATATATAGGATGTCCCCCAAAATGTAAACAGACTTTAACAGATTAATTTTTTCTTTCCAAGTTAAACTCATTAAAACTAATGGCAGTCCGACTAAGCTTTAAACAAAAGAAATTCATTCTAAAATGCTACTGTAAGTGTGAAAACGCAGTTGAAGTTCAATGACAGTTTAGGAGGGAGATTTGGACAGATCCACCTACGCAACTTACCATCACTTGAATTAGAAACAAGTTTGAAGCTAATGGAACTGTTCAGAATATACACGAGAAGGATTCCAGAAGATCACGGACATCGATATTCCTCACAAAGCAAGAAAATGTATTGAGAATATATCACCGAAATCCAATAAAATCTGTCCGTCAAGAGTCGTGGCGTCGGTTTTTTAAAATCGTCTGTTCAACGCATTTTGAAACGCTGTCAATGAAAAGGTTACATTCCAAGTTTAGACCATGCTATTAATGACGAAGGTCCAGACAGAAGAATGGAGATAGATTCTACTTTGATGAGATCTTGCTAAACAGCTGGATTGAACGAAGAAGTTTCGTACAATATCCTCCTCGTTCACCAGACCTCACACCACTAGACATATTTATGGGGGTACAAAAAAAAAGACAAAGTACTATGCGAAAAATCAGTGTTCATAAATTTTATCCTCCCCAGTTATGAGTATGATTATTTCCATGATATAATAACACCTTAAGACACGTACGACTCGGAATAACTGAAATAAAAGGAATGGCAAACCTGTTTTTTTCTGAACATTAGTATTATATTGAACATCTACACGCATCCCACGCAGAGAAACGATAGCATATGTATGCAACAACCAGCACATAGGTTTATGTGAAATATACTATTAAATTGTCGACAATATCGTTACCGCTTCTTTCTGAAAAAGACCAGACTGCACACATTCAGTTAGTTGTCAGCAGTGACTGGACAAGAACAGACGCCATTTTGAAAACAGGCGTTGACAAAACAATAAAATAATGTCTGTAGATTCTATTACATTTTGAAAATGAAATGTATTTTTAATAAACACTGACACTATAATTATTCAAAGTGTGTATACTTTTTTGTGTGCACACAAGAATTTGTAGATGCGTATTAATTAATTAATTAATTAATTAATTAATTAATTGTCAAAGAGAGAGAGAAACAATGCTGATGCTGTGTATCGAAGTGACTTATTTTAACTTTCTTTTGTGACGTGTGATGGCGTTTATAATTAAGTAGAACTCAAGACTTCAATGTTAAATAAAACAGTATTTAATTACAACCGGAAATGAATACTTAACAAGCACAAAGAAGTAAAAGTCAACTAAAGATAATTAACCATTTCAGTGAATACCTTGTTAGTAGCGCGGCTCGGATTAACGTCCGGTAAATCTTAAATCAAAACCCAAATCATCGATGCACAATAATTCACACTAATTCGACTGGATAGTTCCACTCCATAGTCACTAAATAATCACTGCAGTCTCACATCGCTATTTATACACCTGGCGGAAAACATATATTCATAAGTCCAGTGTCACGTTCGAACCTTGGTGTCGGTAGTTACTCATTGTCTTCCTATATGACACTTTACTTCAAAACAATAGAAAATCTTTGGAAGATTCATACTAAAAACCGTTCACGAGAATGTGGGATATTTTGAGCATAGGGAGTTTCTCGATACATCTTTTTTTTACTAATAGACCAAGAGCCACTCAAGCTAGATATAAAGCAGTGGATTTTTGTGCTAGCGGTTATAGTAAGAGACACACTATGAAAATATGTGGGAAAGCTATCGGTTAACCCTTGATTGTACAGGTTAAAAGAATAGTAGTTGGGAAAGCATCCACTTGGGAGACGGTTTCTGGGAAGAAGCTGTTCGAGTGGCACTTAATTCTTACTAAAGGTATATGAAGGGAATAAGGGTGGTTCGTCTCAATGTAAGCGGCGTAGCATCATATTTGTAGGAATTAGAATTGGTCATACTAAGAAATGCGGCTTGTCTGTTCATTTTCCATGGAAATAGCAATATAGTAGGGATAGGCTTACTACGCTTCGTCTGTCAGAGAGGGATATTAAAAACCCATAGGGCCGCGTAGATGGCTTTGGGCTATATGACAACTGGAAAGTGGGGACAAGGAAACTCCATCCCAGATATGTCAGTTCTCCATTTTGGGCCTGGCATGGCTCTTGTTAAGGTAGATAATAGCAGTAGAAGCGGAACAGCAAACCGACCATTTTTCCGGCAACTTTAGCAATGGATCGTATATCCACTTGATGTCTAGGGTGAGCTTCAGTCCGGATAGGTGTTCAAGGCAAGAGAGTACAGTCGTTGTTTATGATAGACGAACATTCAGCTATTTTTCCTCCATTGAATTGGAAGTTGTCGTCTATCAATCTTTTTCTACTGTCATACCACTTTCATATCTCTAATAGAATATATGTCTGACGTAATGCAACAATCCGAATTGAACGGATCCTTTTTTTTTTAAAAGAATGAACAATATTATAATTTTAAAAATGATTAAACCATTCCATTATCTTTTCGAAGAATTAAATCGGGATAAATAATAGCTATAGGGTTTAATTCACTACTAAAATATTCTTCCCCGCTTGTTTCGTAAAGGCTAAAGAAACTAATATTCGTTTAAATAACTTGCTTCTGATTTTCACCATTTTAGTTCCTGCAGGCATTTATTTTCTTAACCCGTGAAATTCTAAAAATACATCTTTTTTGAATGAATGGATTCTGAGATGAAAATTTACGATTAAAAAAAATATCTCCGAGAAAGATTCGAACTCTCAAAGGATATGTTTGAATTTATAGTGACAAATACATAGACTTTAAATCTTCTTTGTTTCTTAAATTTCTTTCTTTTCTGGTACCGATTCTCGTATTTTATATCACATATCTTCGTATTCTAATCCTTCTTCCTTTTGTTCATGCAACTTTTCCCGATTCACGGCCTCTCATATCTTTTCTGAAATCCCTCCTTCATTTCTTTTTTGTCGTTTCCTTATTCCGCTTTCGTCATCTTTCTCTTTTGCTGCTAATGGCGCTCTTCATTCTGCCATGATCACATCGTTTATGCGTCGGCTTACTTTTCTGGCTTCTCGATTAAGTGAAAACCGGAGACACCGCAGTGCGTACCTGACGCCCACGATCAGAAACGACAATATTCGTTTGTCATCATGAGCGCGCTTCGTTGCGAGAATATTTCTATTAATGAACGACGTTGCGATTAAAACATGTAGTATATATATTAGTTAAAATAGGCTAAAAAAATTCTATGCATCATTTTCTCCTTCATTTCATCCACAAGACAGAGAACGAGCAAAAGAAAGATAATTCAATATAAACGAAGAGAAAAGGAAGAGAAGGAAATTATCAGGTATTTTTTTAAATGTATTTCTAGTGTTCAGTATAGAAAAGCAAATGATCAAATATGGCTGTACAGAGAAGAGAAGGAAGAGAAGACATGTGATTGAAGAGGGTGGGGAGAATGAATAGAGAAAATATAGTTGAATGGAGAGGAGACGGAAAAGAGCAAATAGTCTTGAAGAGGGAAGATAAGAGAGAGAAAAAATGTGGAGAAGGATGAGGAGAAGGAAGAGAACAAAAGTAGTTGAAGTGAGAGGAGACGGAAAACAAAAAGATGTTGAAGGTGGAAGAGAAAGGAGAGAACAAATATGGTTGAAAGGGAGGATAACTAAGAGAAGAAATACGGTTGGAGAGGAAGAGAAAAAGAGCAAATATATCTGAAGAGAGAGAAGAAGTAAAAGAACAAATAAGCCTGAATGGAGAGGAGAAGGAAGAGAACTAATATTGTTCATAGGAGAGGAGGAGGAAAATACCAAATATGGCGAAAGAGAGAGAACAGGGAAAACAGATATGGTTGAAGAGAGAGGAGATGGAATATCTTAAGGGGAATGCGAAGTAGCAGAACAAATATGGCTGAAGGAAGAGCAGAAAAGAGAGAGCAAATATGTCTTCGTAGAGTAGTCGCCAACCAAATTTAAGGAAGCCTGTCTAACTTACTATTTAATCCATAGATGGAGAAAGATTTATAACCCAGGTATCATTGTGCGAATATGACTACATAGCCTTAGTTTTTTTAAAATCTTTTTTGTTAAGTCTGAGAACTATTCTGTCCCCGCCAATATATACAAATAAATAAAATGATAATAAGCATCAATTAGTTAAATATTTAAAAATATGAACATTTTAAAAACTATACTCGATTGCATCAATATTGTAGACTGTCAGAGATTTTAGTAAAATTTTGATTTGATTTTTTAATAATGTAATATTCAATCAATGTAATTAATAAAAACACATGAAATTAAGTGCATTAACAAATAATGGTGTTTTGTTAAAGAATAAATATATTGCATAAAATAAACTAACGCCTCATTATTAAGTTACCGCTTTAATGATAGAAACAACGATTTTAGAAGAATAATTTTCAGAAGTATTTGAAGGAAAAGGCTACACTTGGTATAATTTCGCACAAAATTGAAAATTGCTAAAAACACCAAAAACATTAGCCTTAAAACTTGAACTTTAAATGTTTTTAAATAGCCTCGTCAGATCGAGGCATTCATATCGAGCTCGCGAATGGCGCCAAAGTCGTTCATAAATATCTGAACTATTAGCTGTAGCAAACCGCATTCTTAGATGGATGGCTAAAAATGACTTGGAGTAAATGAAGCTTGTAGTCCTTAGCAAGAACCATCCTTCTTTGGAGTTTGTGAAATGGTGTTACAGAGCAACCAAGAAAGACGTTTACCAAAGAAGAGAAACCACCCAATTTGAAACCTTCCAAGGATAGCAATAACTAAAATGGCTAGCACATGTAACTCTAAGAAAAAGTAATACCATATTCAAGATGGTTACATTCCACACTACTTTAAACGGGATGTAGAATTAATTTCCTCTCTGAATTAATTTCGACTTGGAACTAATTGATTAGTTCCGAGTTGAAATTAATTCCGAAGTAAAATTAGTTCCTAGTTGAAATTAATTCCGAGTTGAAATCAGTTCCCTGGCGAAATTAGTTCCGAGTTGAAATTAGTTCCGACTTGAAACTAGTTCCCTGGCGAAATTAGTTCCGAGTTGAAATTAGTTCCGAGTTGAAATTAGTTCCGAGTTGAAATTAGTTCCGAGTTGAAATTAGTTCCGACTTGAAATTACTTCCCTGGCGAAATTAGTTCCCTGGCAAAATTAGTTCCGAGTTGAAATTAATTCTGAGTTGAAATTAGTTCCGAGTTGAAATAAGTTCCGTGGCGAAATTAGTTCCGAGTTGAAATTAGTTCCCTGGCGAAATTAGTTCCGAGTTGAAATCAGTGCCAACTTGAAATTAATTCCGAGTTGAAATTAATTCCGAGTTGAAATTAGTTCCGAGTTGAAATTAGTTCCGTGGCGAAATTAGTTTTGAGTTGAAATTAGTTCCGTAGCGAAATTAGTTTTGAGTTGAAATTAATTCCGTGGCTAAATTAGTTCCGAGTTGAAATTAGTTCTGTCACTCCTCTAAACAAAAGCGTAGGAAGGATGCCCTCATCTGCACTGGAAAGTACCAGAGAAGCCTCTACTATTATAGAATATTTTAAAAGAATTTCTTCATGGTTTGAAAGATAGAAAAAAAAGAATCTAATTAAGTAGATATATTAATCTATTTATAAATGTCATTTGTCTTTCTTTTTGCTTTATAGATATTTAAATTCAAACAATTTTAACAATGCGACGATCACAAGTTTTCTGCTGCTCTCTCGTTTCTACAAACGTGTTTTTTGCGTTACTTTGCATTTATTTTCTTCTTTGCTTCTTCCGACTCATTTCCAATTTCACTCTACCTATTTCTGTTGTAGCTTTCCATAATTCCACTACAGTTCGAACAGGTGTTAATAGTCAATGCTTAAGACGCCCATTTAAAAAGATCTTGTCCGTATATACAAGTTAAGCATGCTCAGGTGTTTTCAAACGAGGCTAGAAAAGATAAGGAATATTTTCGTATAGAAACTGCTTTGCCGAAGAGAAGATCTTATAAAAAAAATCCTATTATTAATGAGAAAATTAAACACAAAAATGAAGCACATAAAAGTATCAACACACGTAAAATACCAAACTCCGGCTATGGAATACAGATGTTGGAATTAAGAATATTCCTGTTCTTGAACTGGTTGCAACTCAAAGCTAGAGAACCCAGTCTATGCTTTCTTTTTAACTCATAGGTGGGGAAGAAGAGACGGAGGCATGCCTTTTCCAAGGTCATTAGTGAGAAAGCGCAAACTCGGCGGGTTTATTCAGAGGAGCGTTCCGTTAGCAAGGTCGATTTTACTGCTTTTAAACAAAATTTAGCAGATATGAATGTATGAAAGAAAATCATGGAGAATTGTATTTAAAAGCAGTAAAATCGACCTTGCTAACCGAACGATGCTCTGTGGCCCAATCGGTTAAGGCACATCAGGCTATATGACGGTTCCGTATAGGATACAGTTTCGATTCCTGTCGAAGGACGTATATTTTGTATGAAAATTTCTCGGACATTCAGTCCGGTAAATGTTGTTAATACTGTTTATTATTAACAGAGCATTTACTTAAATATTTGTGTCTATAAAAAAAAACGTATAAACATAAAAAAATGTCTTAAAAGATTGTGTATATTCGACACCTCTGCTTTTAATCAACGTCACAAGGCCGCTAAAGCTGTTCGAAACATTTGCGCTGTGTACGCAGATGACTTCATTATCGATAGAATTGCACAGAAATGATGTTCCCGTTTAAAGGAGGTGAAGTCTGAACCCAGACTGTTCGAGTTCTGACCGACCTGTTCAGTTTGATGAGGACCAACTTCACGCACTGATTAAAGAAGGACTGGGTCAGACCACTCTGGAATTGGTTAAGAAGATGGCAAGATTTTGTATTCGGTGCTCGTCATGTTCACTCAATGGATAAGGCCCAGAAACTCGGTGTGTAGGTGCCACTCGCATTGACCGAGAGAAACAAACACGCAGCCTCATTGCCGCTAGTTTACTTGCGCGACATCAGGTTACTCGTGAGTACAAAGAAATAGATGTGTTAGGAAGTTCTGCCAAACCCAACATATGCCCCTGATGTAGCACCTTCAGACTAGCACCTTCGTCGGTCGCTTTTTAACAATTCGAGGGGTGTTTCGTTCAACAATGATGTGGAACTTAAAACATAGCTTGATGAAGTTTTCGTATCAAAAAATAATTGCTATCGTCAAGGCTAGTTAATGGATCGTTGGCAGGAGATCCTAAAAATTGAAAGGTTGAACGGTTCATCAGAACTATTAATCTCTATCTATAAAAGGCAAGATGTGTGTGTGTGTGTAACGAATGCACGGCCGCAATTTTCGACGGATTTGCACCAAAATTTACATGCACATGCCCCAAGTTTGCGGCAAGGCCAAGACCGACGTTGCATTTCCCAACTCCCTTCGATAGTGGAAATAATCGATATTTTCATGCTTCTACGGCAGTTTTCATGTAGTTTGCGGCCATTTTCTACTGGCCAGAGTGAGAGCCTATAGCTGGCTGCCACGAATAGGCAGAAAGATTCTATTGGCCAGCGTGAGAGCCAACAGCTGACTGACACGACTGTTAACTATCATGCTAACATGCTTAAAAAATATCGATAGTTGCATTCATCACAAGTGGGAAAAAATAAATCTGCATGGCACTTTACTCCAATTGGCTCATTCGCTTGCTTAAACTCAACGTTGATTCTGATTCCTCAGAACTGGGTTGGGTGTGAAAAAGTATTTGTTGTTAACATTCTTTTTTCATTCAGTTTTTCCAGTTACGAGTCCTTTTTTTAAAGCTGATCGTTTTGTGTTCATTTTGTTTAGTTCTTTTTTCGTAACAGATTTAATGTTTAGTATAGCGCTTAGAAAAAATTCGTAGTGTGAGATAGGCAAGAAGTAAGGCATGTAGCAACATCAGCATGGCCTTCAGTTCAACTTTGGTTTTACAAGGGGTTATCTTGATCTCTCGCCCAGCTGCGCCCCACACATAATAATTAAGGGGCTCCCAGTTTGAGGAGTAAGGTGGCCAGATGTAAGGTGTGGTGTGGTCGCATACATTGTTTGACAGCTATGACTGGGTTCTCTTACTTGTGTGGCATGGTGCAGAGTCCTGTTGCCAGACATAGGGTCTTCCAGCAGCCACCATCTTAACCTAGGGCAGCACTACCTCCTAGAAGCACTTGATGTAGACCTCCGTGTTAAGTCTGGGACCATCACCAACAAATTCGGGAGGTCTTTTCTAATCGGAAGAATCAGAGTTAGTTTTCCGAGCAGCTGTATATTCGTGATCACTATTAAACTCATCCAACTCTTTTCGGAATCCTCTGCACTGTCCTCAGATTGACATCCAAACACTCTGATATGTTTGTATTGGAGATTCCGGCACTAATGTCAAGAAGTACAGCATGCCATTTCTAAATTTCTGGCGGAGTAAACTACGTCATGGTGCTCTTTTTCTCAGAGAAGTTGCTTAACTTACCCAACTATACTGTGCAGTCGACAAAATCAAAAACAGACAACATGAATGTGCAAAATTAAAAATATAAAATGGAGAGAAATTTACCCATCGTACCATAAATATCTCTTCTCTCCAGGTATGGGATAAATAATAGGACTTATATCTTTAAAAAACATTGATATTCCCAGAAAATTGGTACTGCAATATTGACCGGAAAAAAAAGAAAATAATTATTCTTATAATAATAATTATGTTTCGTTGAGAAAAGAAATAAATCGATCAATCATCGAAACGAAGAGACAAGATTTAATAATATAAACAATGAAAAGGGGATATTTCATATTATTATTTCAGAATAGTAACAAACTTAAAGAAAAAAAAAATAATGAAAATACCAGGACATTGCTCGAGAGCT